TTTTGTGGCCCAAATTCTTTGGCCATTAGGGGAATTCTTTGTACGAGAGGGAATAATTGGGAGTTTGGGACTTGAGACAGAGAGCAAGCAGGCACACGGAGACGGACTCGGAAGCAGAATTGCAGCAGAGCTAGAGCGCGGAGTAGTAGAGTAGCGATCAGAGCAACAAGGAATTGGAGCCAGATCGTACGACAAATTCAGTATTCTTTTCCTTTTGTTTCGATTCGTGACCTGATGATTATGAACATGATTATGTGTTTTATTTTTGTCATGAACTAAACCCCAATTTCTGGGGGAAATATCATAGGATGTAGCTATTTCTAGAATTGATGGATTGATTCATATTTCTCTTCTTCCAATCTCTATTGCATGAAATTGCTTAATGCTTTGTGTTGACTGGCCACCAATACAATGAACCGTAGTTAATTAGGTTATTAGCGACAGTGAAACCTTAATAACTGAACCTATTTCATGTGACGTAGTAACTTATCGAAGCGACAGTGGATTAAATAAGGTACTATGCAGTCTTGATTGGGATATCGTTCTTCATGCTAAATAATTAACTCATTGAGCTACGATAGTAGGATTTGATTTAATTTTTTAGTACGTAGTAATTCCCGACAGGGATAGCTAGCACAGCAGAGAGATCCTGGCTGTAGAGATATGGATTAAACTGATTGGAATATGTGAATTCATTTTGATATGATAGGTAGTGAGTCCCGGTGTTTCTCCCAGATCTTTCTCCGTTGAATTTCTCCCAACAGTTTTCATTACTTAATTTTTTATTTAATTCTGCTTTTAGATATTAGTTTATCTCTCAAACCATTTTCACTTATAGTTTGCTCCATAAATTGATAAAACTTAAGGTTGTACCAGTCCCTGAGAGACGATACCCGGACTTTACGGTTTACTACAAGATAGGATTAAGGTATATACGCTTTTGCCCTATCAAGTTTTTGGCCAAGAATCAAGCTTCTCAAAGCCTCTTTCAACAAGGCGATTCTCTCCACCTAAGTCAAAATGACCCAATAATGAGTTAAAGCTAGCACACTCAATCATTCAAGAAAAATACCTCAAATATCATATAGAACACACAACCAACACAATAAAATCTAGTTCTTACATCCTAACATACATCTAAACTAGGATTCACAATACCCAAGTGAGTAGGAAGGCTAATCCATAGTTAAGCAAAGGAAAGCAACAAAAAGGAGAGAAAGAGCCACGGAGAGATGAAAATCTTCCTTCATTCTTGCTTGAATCTCCCTTGAGAAGAAGAGATCTTCAATCCTCTAGCTTTTGATCCCAATCTCCTTCTTCCTCCTTTGAATGGCCATGTCTCTCTCTAGAATGGGAAGAGGAAACCCTAATCTCTCACTAGAAAACTCCCTTTATTCTGAAAATGAAAACCCTACTTAAGCCTCCCCTTTTCCTTTAGCTCAAAGCCCATTTTATACCCAGATCGGGCTCAGTTCACGATCTGGCTTCAATTCACGGCCGGGTGCTTCAGTTCACGGTCTTAGACAGTGAAATGACGACTTCACGGTCTGGACTTTCATTTCACGGTCTGGCACTAGTTTTTTGATAGATGGTGGAGCGAGATGCATCTCTGGAGCGGGTTATGAGATTGCTAGCATTGTTGTGGAGAATATGGAAGTCTAATAATTGGGTGGTGTTTGATCACATTCAATATGGCTTTCCTGTTTTTGCTTAGACAATACCAAGTTCAAGTAGAGGAATGGTAAGGCATTCTAGCGAACGCAGAGCTGGACAAGGCAGCGATGAGGGTACAATAAGTGGTGCGGGAGAGTGGGCATGGGTCGTCCTTAGTATGCTTTGTTGATGGAGCATTGAGGGTGGGCTCGCATGCATCGGGAGGGTTAATGGTGCAGGATAGGGTGGGGAGTGCGATTTTTGTCCAGAGGTTTCAGTATATGAATTTTGCTTATCCTTTCCTCGTGGAATTGATGGTGTTTCACAATGAGATCTAGTGGTTCTCTTAGAAGGGTCTCTCCGAGGTGGCATTTTACGGTGATGCAGAAGCAGTCATTGATAAGATCAGGGCACAACTTTTCCAGAAAGTCATATCATCGAAAGAGACATCGACTTTCCATCCTCATTGACTTTGACTAATTTGCATAGCCCATGGATACCCTAATTTTACCAAGAATACTGCTAACTATTCCCCAGCCATCTCAGTCGGTTCTGAGGGAAACAATCTCAATAAATCTAACGATTCCCCCAGGGAAACATTGTCTCAAACAATCGAAACACCAAGTTCCTGTACCATAAAAAAATTAATCTCTCCACTTTATCCACAGTCTGCAGCAACGCATCCACCACCAAAGGCACCGGATCGGATCAAATTCCCAATATCCAATAATCCTCTAGAATTCGCACCTCTTATCTCATTCCCACTTGCCATAGCAATCATTTTGCAAGTAGGTCATTACCATACAAAAAACTTTACCAACCCCATGACGAACGAGCTCCCCCTTTAGCTTGCAGAATATGATTTCGAGGGAAATACTTCCCTTTCAATACCCGGGCAAGCAGCAATTCCAGCTCATTCATTATTCAACAAGCGACCTTTGCAAGAAACACTTGGTTAAACTCCTAAAACTGTAAAAATCCTCGTCCACCATCAAACTTACTCCGACATAAATTTCTCAAGGATACCCAATGAGCCTTATCACCTTCCACAATAAATCCCCACCAAAAGTGAGCTATATGCCTATCCAACTTACGACAAAGCGAGGTAACAAAAAAATATGACATGACATGTACAGGCAATGTCGATGCAAACTGCCTATAGTAAGGTTTCCTTAGTTGCACAGGAAAGATGTCTCTGTTTCCAGCCTTTAAGTTTATTCAGAAGCTTCTCTTCCAAATACCAGAATGTATCTATTTTGGATCGATGCACTAGAGTAGACATTTCTAAACATTAATGTGGAACACCCACCACTCCCACTCCTAGGAACTACGCCATCTCCTAACACGCGGAAGGCTCAATATTCCTGCTAAAACATACAACCGACATATCCATATTCACCTTTTGCCCACTTAAAGACTAGTACTCCTACAATACATGAACCAAATCCTCACACTCATATCTCGATCTCCTAAGGAACATATAAGAATCATTTGCGAAGAACAGGTGTGAAGCACTAGTGCTTTGTGGACTCACCTTCACTACTGCTAATTGGCCATCAATTAATGCATGTTGTAATAACACAACAAAATCTTCAGTGGGGACAGAGGGTCTCCCTGATGCCACCCTCTAGTAGACCCAAAAAACTCGTTTGTATTACAGCGACTATTGGCACAAAGTTAGCCGATTCTTATTTCCCAGATATCCTCATTGTTGGCGTACCATTCATTAGTTTGTGCCAGATTTGTCATATTGAATAATTTAGTACACAAATGATACTTTAGAATAATTTGGGTTTCCTAGTGGAATTCACCCAAAAACTTATAATATAAAATATGAATAAACATTATCAACAATAAAAAGTAGTCTTAATGGATCTTGTTAGATTTTTTTAATATTAAATAAGATTATCCTTACCCTATTTTAACTTTATTTTAGAAAATATAATTTTCTTTTATTTATATCATTTTAAAAATAAAGTAGATTGTAAAATTATATTATTTAGTATAAAAGAAATCTAACAAGATCCATTTTGACTATTTTTTATTGTTTAGAATTTTTACTCATAGTTTATAGTTATTTTACACAACCTCTCATATTAAAAAGCACTTCTAATATTTTTTTAGCCAAACACTCAACTGATTTTTTTGAAAAGTACTTTCTAAAAGCTGCAGCCTGCTTTTTGCAAAGGCTACAGCACGACCAAACTGCATGCCTTAGGTTCAATGTTATATGTTATATTTCAACGTTTCGGATTCATATATAAATGTTTAGGTATTGATGTTAAATATTATATTTAAATATGATTGGTTGTTATTTTATTTGAAATAATTATTTAATTTAAATATGGATATGGATGGTAAATAAATTTCTTTCAAATATAATTTATATATGATTAAATTCATTTGATATATCAAACTTGTACATATATTGTTAAAATCGATATAAACCGGCACAAATCAATTGAACAAGCGATCAAACCATTTCATTTGAAAAACCAACACGGCATAAACAGATTTGACAATGTTGGTTGACATAATTTTAGACCAAGCACCATTGAGTCTAGGAGTGTTCAAACGGTGTAGTTACCATGGTAACCATTTTAACCGGTAGTATTTGGATAATTTGGTTTGGTTAATTTGGATAATTAGTTTGGTTTAGTTTGGTTTGGTTTGGTTAAATTTTTTAGCTTGTTTGGTTTAGGTGGTTTGGTTTGGTGCAAGACACTGCTAACCAATGAAACCAAATTAACCAATTAAGTAATTAACCATATATCTAATATGTATTATATATAGATACTCAAAACTTTGCATAACCAATAAAGAGTCCAATGCAAGATAATTGTATTTGTTACATGTATTTATGTTAAGGGTTAACTATAATTATGTGTTGATTGTTATGTATTGATGCACTAACCGGATATTTTTGTCACTTAACGATAATATGATGTTATATTAGTTATTTTGGTTAATCAATTAACCAAACTAGTTAAAATTTAATTTGGTTGTTATATTAGTTTGGACTAGTTATGATATTGTATAAGTATTCCATAATTAATAAATTTTAAACTTATTTGATTTGCTAATTATAATGATAAGTTGGTAACCATTTGAATATAATACACTTCAATGCTATATGGTGCCCTATATACGCCTTTCACTAAAATCCGTCATCCATTCCAATTCGAAAAGTCTAGTGGCATCCAAGCCCCGTCAAAACTAACCAAACTAGGAGAATAAATCACCCGGCCGATGGTAACGGGGCCCATTCTAGTTTTTATCTGAAACGAAGAAGCGGGCGAAGAGAAAGAAGAGCAAGGTGGACCGTACCAAGAGAGGGAAAGGAAAGAATGCTGCATCACCAAATCGTGCAATCGCCGGCGAGGCTTGGCCTCACAAACCCTAATTCGCCGTCACTTCAGAATCCTACTCCGCCCAAATTCCCCTCCTCCTCCTCCTCTGTTGCATCCCAATCCCACCACCACCCATCTTCTTCAAATGCCCCCTCCTCCGCCGCCACGAAGACCTCCTCTTCCGCTCTCCTCTCTCTCCTCCCTCCTCTCCCCAGAGCTCAATCTCTGCTCCTTCAGATGGCCTCTTTAGTCTCCAAGCTCTTCGATGTCTCTCCCAATCGCTCTCACTGGCTCACCGCCTTCCGCGGCACCTTCCCGACGTTCCTGGCCTCGCAGTCGCACTCCACGCCTCCGCCTCCGCTCGAATCCGCCCCTTCCTCCGTCAGCGAGATCCTTACGCTCTTCAATTCTCTCCAGGCTCAGCTTTTCGAAGCCGTCGTTGAGCTCCAGCAAATCCTCGACCTACAAGATGCGAAGCAGAGGCTTTCCAGGGAGATCAAATCGCGGGATTCTCAGCTTCTCAGCTTCGCGAATAAGCTCCGGGAAGCGGAGCGAGTTCTCGACATTCTAGTCGATGATTACGCCGACTACCGCCGCACCAAGAGGGCCAAGTTGCCGGAGAACGGGGAGGAAAACGAGGCAGGTAATACAACTGTTGCCTCTCAGCTCAAATTGACCGATATCTTGTCCTACGCTCACCGCATCAGCTACACGACGTTCGCGCCGCCGGAATTCGGCGCTGGTCAGGCACCGCTCCGTGGGGCTTTACCGCCTGCTCCACAGGACGAGCAGATGCGTGCTTCTCAGCTGTATAATTTTGCCGACCTTGACGTCGGCCTACCGAAAGCTGAAGTCAAGGAGAAGGCTGTGGAGGCGATCATCGAGCCTCCTCCCCCACCTCCGCCAGCGCAGACGGATTTGGCCAATCTTGCTGGGTTGCTCACAGTTCCATCAGGATGGAAGCCAGGGATGGCTGTGGAGTTGCCTAAAGATTTGCCTCTGCCGCCACCAGGATGGAAGCGTGGGGACCCATTGCCGCCATTGGATTCTATTCATATGCCAAGGATACTGGAACAACATGTGGGTCCTGCTCGAGGGCTGCCTAAACAGCCTGAGACCATACAAGTTAAACATGTCCAGATTGATATTGAGGATCATGATGAGGATAGCAGTGATTACACCAGCAGCGAGGAAGGCAGCTCTGATGATGACGATTGAGGGAGACATGCGTTTTTGAAAAGTAGAGTGCCTTTGTGATGCTGAAAGATGAAGGTTAGCATAGCACTCTTTTTATTGACAGTGAAAAATTTATGCTTGTGATATTGCAGTCAGTGTTAACATGTGGTGAGGTGCTGCAAGTTTTGCATTCTGGTTAGTAATATAATGTAATAACTGTTAAGCTCAAGTCCTGAATCCTGATGTTTAGTTTTTTGGGAACCATACGGATTTCTCCTTCCCAAAGTCCGAATTCATATATGTTGTAGTGTAGTTTGTTGAATTGCTTTAGCAGTAGTGGTGTCGAGAATGGAAGACGTTGAGTGGATGACACTGCTTTGCTTCCCCGCAGGCAACTAGTAGGGAGGTTGATCTCCTAGAACAGACTTAGACCTGTGGGTGTTTACTGTTTAGGAGAAAGTAGTAGGGTGTTACCAAATTCAGTTGTTCTGTTTTTCCAGTTTCACCAAAATATAAAGAATAAACCTTTGTCGATATTCAAATTTTGATATGGTGAGAGTGCTACTAAAAGCACCTTATCTGACAATGAAAATGGAGGCAATTGGGACAGAATACGCTGGTGTCTGATTCTGTTGTTATTGTTAGGATGAAAAGGATAGTGGGTCTGCAGCAGTGTGGAAGAGGCCGAAATTCACCAAGTTTCTTCATCCAATTTCTTATGCTGGTCGACTTGATATCGTAGACATAACGTTGGGATGTTAGTCGGTGGAGGGGGTGTTTCTTTTATCTTGTGCTCGTCGATGCTTGATGTATATTGCAGTAGAGTTTGACGTTTGTTGCGCAAGGAGAGTTTTATCTTGACGGATTAATTCCCTAAATACAGATAAAATTAAAGCAAATTCCTAAACTACCACACTTTTAAAAAAAATTCCCAAAATACCTAAGTTTGGAGTGGTTCGAGTTTGAGGAACTCGAACTACTAACCGGTTCGAGTGTAGGAGACTCGATCTAGTCGTAGATCGATGATATAAGTCTCGAATCATGTGAACTCGAACCACTCCTTTGAAATTTCCAACAAGCTTAACTTTGTGCTCGGTTATCCGATTGTAGCAAAGTTTTTTTTCATTTCACATAACTTTTCGAGGACTACAACTTTTATAATAGAAATATTTTCAGAATATATGTGAAAATGTGAAAAATAAATTTAAATTTACTCCCAAACCACCTTATATTAAAAATTGTTCCTATTTTGAAAATTTATTCCTAGTAAATGTTGTAGTACTCAAAAAATTATGCAAAATAAAAAAAAACTTTGCGACATTCGGATTGCGGAGCACAAAGTTATGATCCTCTAAAGTTTGGCAAAATCAAAAAATTGCTCGTTTAGGGGTAACAAATGACATTTTCTCGGGGCGAAGGCACGGGAAACTTTTTTATATATAGGGAATTTCTTCCAAAAGAGCAATATTTTTCCAAACGAGAAATTTTTGGATGGCTATCTTCCTAGAAAACGTCATTTGCTACCCATAAACGAGCAAATTTTTGAATTTGTCAAACTTTGGAGGATCATAACTTTGTGCTCCGCAATCCGAACGTCGCAAAGTTTTTTTTTGTTTTGCATAATTTTTTAAGTACTACAACATTTACTAGGAATAAATTTTCAAAATAAGAATAGTTTTTAATATAAGGTGGTTTGGGAGTACATTTAACTTTATTTTTCACATTTTCACATATATTCTGAAAATATTTCTATCATAAAAGTTGTAGTCCTCGAAAAGTTATGCGAAATGAAAAAAAACTTTGCTACGATCGGATAACCGAGCACAAAGTTAAGCTTGTTGGAAATTTCTAAGGAGTGGTTCGAGTTCACTGAACTCGAACCACTTCAGCTCCACATGGTTCGAGGCTTATATCATCGATCTACGACTAGATCGAGTCTCCTACACTCGAACCGGTTAGTAGTTCGAGTTCCTCAAACTCGAACCACTCCAAACTTAGGTATTTTGGGAAATTTTTTTAAAAGTGTGGTAGTTTAGGAATTTGTTTTAGTTTTATCTGTATTTAGGGAATTCATCCTATCTTGACGTAGTGTTGTAGGTGTGATGAGTCATTGTTAATGGATGTACGTAGTTAGTAGGTACTTAGTGCATTGGCTTGGGTTAGGTGGCCGAGTGGTCTAAGGTAATTCGGCTATAGCTAGGAGGGTTACATATTAGGATTATTCACCTATATATCGTAACTACCACATTAGCCTGGTTTATCGAATAATAAACCAAAATATATCGACACCAACATCGTTCTCCTGCTTGTAAGCTACAAGCAAACCCTTGAATCGTGGGTACGTAATGATTCATCAAATTAGTATCAGAGCCTGGTTAATTTGAGAGCCTGGTTAATTTGAGGTGGAGAGCCAAGGATTTGTGCGAGATCGTGCGAGGCGGCTAAAAAGAAGCTATGAACTACGCCAACAATGGGAACAAATCAAGGAAGGTGGGAATCTAGCCGAAATTGCGCAACCATCAATGATGGAAAGCGAAGCGGCGACGACGTGGTCTGCTTTGACGCCAATGTTATGAAACAAGGGGTGGAGGGTACTGATATCTCCGTCAACAAGATTGGCGGGAAGGAAACAGTGCGCAAGGGTTATTATCACCTATGCGAGGCTCTCACCCAACGATATGGAAGCGATAGGAAAGAAACAGTGCGCCGCGGTGGTCACCACCTCGACGAGGCTCGCACTACCGATTCGAATCTGCGAGAAGGAAGAGTTCGCGGTTGGGGTTCATTCCAAGAGAGACAAAGCTACTGTTCAAATCGGAAGCTCGCCGGGATTGCTCCAGTGGCCGCCATGCGGCGTTGACTGGTGGAACACTTGGACTTTGATGACCTGACGATGGAGCTGCGGCAACCGCTACTTGTCCATCCAAATAAGAGCATAAGGCAAACTCCACCTTGGGGCCAATGTGATGATTATGATGGAGGTATCTCATGCCTCTCTCTAGCTAGCCTAAACGCTAGTAATGGTACGGGGAAATTTTTTGTGCTTGCGGATTGCCACGGTGCCGAGTGGGGAGTCCCACTAATTCGGGTAGCGACCCATGCCCCAGTCCGTAAGAGGAAGAAGAAGGGAGGTCGGACAAGAAGCTGGAAGTTTAGGAAGAACCACAAGCGACACCATCGCAGAGCTGTCGTTGCCATCGTCGTCTACCTCCACACGACATGGATCTTCCCCGTCATCAATGATGCTATCCATTGGATCAACCTTGGGGACAAGGTTGAAATTAAGTGGGAAGGGATGATGGGCTCATGTTGGGCCAAGGGTTGGAGCTTCTGCTATGGTAGCTTGTAGTTACTACGTAGGGTTGTAGGTGTGATGGGTTATTATTAATGGATTTACGTAGTTAGTAGTTACTTAGTGCATGGGTTTGGGTTAGGTGGCCGAGTGGGTTAGGGTAATTAGTAGGGTTCGGCTATAGCTCGTGTTACGTATTAGGATTAGTCACTTATATATTGTAACTACGACATTAGTCCGGTTTATCGAATAATAAAGCAAAGATTTATCTACATCAACGTTGTTCTCCTGCTTGTGAGCTACAAGCAAACCCTTGAATCGTGGGTAACGATTCATCATTAATCTTTAAAACTTATGAAAGAGGAAATGAGACTTGAAGACCATAAACTGAGAAGATCAGTACTAACAAAAATAAGAAAGCATGGAAGCATAAATTGGACGAAACGAAACCCGAATGAAACGACCACAATAAAAAAGATGACATCATCCTGAAGCTGAATGGATTGAAATGTACTCATGAATCGTTTAGTGAGATATTGGTTTGAACTTTGAAGGGTGGTCGAGTAACTTGCTTCATGTTTTGGATATTGTCGCATCGATTTCATCATTGATCGAAACAAATTATTCCACCTTCGCGAATACCCGATCTAGTGAGAACCAATGAGTTTGGATTGGTTGCTGATGGAAGACTGAAAAAAGATGATAACAAAGGGAGAAAATGTGTTGGAAGGATAGGTCTCGTGCCCATTGGTTTGCTCATCACATCTTTCCATTTTTTCTTTAGGTATATTCTTTTTTTTCTTCTTTTTAATGTTTTTAATAATTTATTTAAGTTAATTAGAATAAAAATATCAAAATTTCAAGCTGGCAAGTTAACGCTAAAAAACTTCACGTCACTCTATTTCGTCAGTCTAGTCAGCGTCGTTGATAGTGTTGTTAAATTTAACAAATTTCATGGACAAAATGTTCATATTTGTCATTATTAAAAATTTATATTTATGTATCTAAATGATTCAGTTAATATATTATATGATATGATGGTAAAAATATTGCTTTAGAGAAGTCATGTCGCTAAAATAATCGTGTATGTGAACAATAATAGAAAAAATCAAACTTTGACTTGGATACATACCAAGAAAAAAGAATCTGCTTTCACATCAACAAGAGATTTGGTCACTTAATTTACGAGGTTCCATTCCATTCCCCTCTCCTTCCCACACCCTCTCCAAATCAAATCTTCTCTACCTACAATCTTTTTGTTAACAACACTGGAAATTTTGTATTTGTCAGGAGGAGAGGAAACACTACTCAATTTTTTTGGTTAGTAAAATTTTGAAGTGATCTTTATCTGTATGAATAAATGAAGAAATCCAAAACTCAGATGTATATTCCACTTTAAATTTTTGGATATAAGAAACTAAACAGTTGTTGTTAGTCTGTTATTTGAAAAAGTAAACTAAATATTAAGTATGAATAGGTCCAGAGAGTAACCAAACAAACAAATCATATCCTTTTGGAACTATAAAAGCAATTGATATGGAATGAACCAAATTTGGCTTAATCTATGATCCAAAGGTCAAAGAGTTTTTTTTTTTTTTTTGACAAATTCCAAAGGTCAAAGAGGCCTTGGAAGAGAGAGAGAGGGAAATCAAAATCAAAATCAAATCAAATCATGTGGATATATGGAAATGGAGAAAACCAACAAAAGCAAGGTGGTCTGGTCTGGTCACCCCCATCCACTACTAAACTAATCATGAAATCAAATTATTAAAAATGATGAAATGGAAAAGAGAAAAGAAAAGGTAAAGGTAAAGAAAGACAAGAAGAGAAGAAAGGAAAAGGAAGGGAACATCCCACCAGGCCACCGCCACCTCCACCACAATCTTCTCTTTGCTAGCTTTTTTTTTTGACAATAAGAATCAACTTTTATTCCAACACCAATTCGAAGAATACGGTTACAAATCTCAAAGGAAATCAGAAATTAGATCAAGAACACTAATCCAGTTAATTGGGAGAGAAGATCTAGCAAGAGATCGCGCAACCCAATCTGCTCTGACATTACATAAACGGGACACCGCTTTGACCTTGATTTGAGGATTTGCTCTCAGGATTGAAACCATTGATCCAATCCCTGCTGCTCCTCGCCATGGCCAATATCGAGGTTCTTGTTGAAGAGCTTTAACTAACGTCTGGCAGTCAGACTGGACAACACATTCAGTGCCATATTCTTGAGCTAATTTGAGACCTTCCAATAGAGCTTTTGTTTCGGCTTCGAACGGGGTGGAACAAAGGAGGGTGTCAGCTCGCCCGTCACACACTTGTCCATGGTGGTTAATGACAACAACACCATATGCCGCCGGCTGGGAGTCGTTTAAGAACGACCCATCACAGTGAATCACAAAATTATGATTGCTTGGAGAGAGAAAATCTGTGTGAGCTGAGAGAGGGCAATTCAAACCAAATAAATAAAAAAGAGAGAAAATCTGTGGAGCTGAGAGAGGGCAAATCGTGGCAGATCTTCCCTTTCCAAACTGTCCTGATTTCCCCTCCCACTCCCAGCGACCCAGATTCATATATTAATCAACTCCTTCCTTCCCAGCGAGCCAATACCCCTCAACTTCTTATTCCTGCTGCTGCTACAACTCTCCCCCTCTGTTTCATCAGAATGGGTATGGCTGCTGTCGCCGAAGCTCGTCATCTTGCTCAGGACCAGCAGTTCCATGTTCTTGCTGTTGATGACAGTATCATCGACAGAAAGTTGATTGAGAGGCTCCTCAAGACCTCCTCCTACCATGGTACGCCCACACCTTTCCTTTCCTTTCCCCCTCCTTTCTTTCTAAATCTAATGATGGATGAAAAACTGACTGACCAATAGTTTTTGACAGTGACAGCAGTTGATTCTGGGAGCAAGGCACTGGAGTTTCTTGGGCTGAACAACAACAACAACAACAGCAGTAGTAGTAGTAGTAGTGAAGATGGGGAGGAGAGTGCTGCTGCTCACGATGACATTAGTTTGATCATTACCGATTACTGTATGCCCGGAATGAGCGGCTACGACCTCCTCAGAAGAATCAAGGAATCCGAGTCTTTCAAGGACACTCCCGTCGTCATCATGTCTTCCGAGAATGTGCCCTCCAGAATCAACACCTGCCTTCAACAAGGAGCTCAAGACTTCTTCCTCAAGCCGCTTCAATTGTCACATGTCACCAAGCTCAAATCTCACCTTTTCCGCTGCACCACTTGCTGAATACACACACTACCACTCTCCACATCCATATGTATGTATGTCTTCTCTTGGGAGGAATTGACATGATAAATACTCCTTCAGAATTTAATTTAATTTAGAGATATCCGCAGCCAATGCTCTTCATTTTTATCCAGACTAGTATCAATACCCGCGACTACGTGGCGTGACGTATTCAGCAATGACAATAATAGAATAAAGAGATCAGTGATCATACTCTTCAGTGACACCTGAGAGTCCTATCCTATCACCAACGATGATGTTTGGTCTTCAATCCATCTAAATTTATTGTTACAAAAGACAAACAATTGTGAATGATAAACAAAGAGAAACAGAGACAAAGAACTTTGCAAGAGGAAATACAGACCCTTGTAAGCAAATATTTCAAGGTTCGTTCTAAGCAGAATACAGGTGGTGGATCCTAGCCTCAGAACAATTAGAACCTTGGGTTCTTTTTCAAATAAAGGTGAATTAAACACAAAAGGAACTAAAATGTAGCTTTCTTTATGTTTAGGCTGTATAAACCATGTACCGACTTCAAACCAAAATTTAAGTACAATAGTCAAGTACATGGAGAACGCAAATTATAGTAGCTTATCGGAGTAGCAATACCCAATTGAGTTATGTCCATCCACCCTTGGCGGTGTATAAAAATAAACCAAAAACTTGAACAAAAGAACGATAAAACACCAGGCGAATCGCTGAAGCACTCGGTAACAACACCAAAGACAGCAGCACCTGAAAAGAAAATCAACCCAACAAAAGAATTATCAAGGCCAACTAATAGTCCAACAATTCTATGGAGAGCGGAAGACGTAGAAATTCCTACCTGATTTATAACTCCCTATTTTAGGTCTGCAAGATCTGACCAGTCTCATAAGCTCCCAAAATATCATGCCATAGCTCATGATAAGGCTTTTAGTTTTAGTGCATTGTGCCTCTTCTCCTCCTACCTTGCCCAAGAACAAAGATAAAATCAAAGCTTGAAACTTTTTCCAGTACACCCACATGTATCCACGCAAACAAATAGATATAACTCATGGCCCATCAATCTAACGGATTTAAGAAGAAATCGTCCACAACCCACAAACAGATGAGTAGAAACAACTCAACCAACTAAAATTCAGCAACTGTAACTATCTTGATTCAGCAATGTGGGTAGAAAAGAAGTAAACCTGGCAAAGATAATAAGTGAAATGGTCATAATTTTCAATGACACGGGCTTTTGGTCCCATTCCTACTGGAATCCACAAACCTTGAAAGAGGCTTCAGGGACCGCCACTTGACAACCAACCCATTTCGTTTGGTGGGAATAAAACCGAAATCTGCCAAAACAAAAGCGAGAAATGCCATAAACAACTGTCGAGAAAATTGGAAGCAGTAAAAGAAATTAAAGAAAGTAATACCTGAGTTGGATCATCTCTGTCTTGGGAAAAAGCAAAGAAAATAAATGAAGATTCTCACTGTTCGTCCTCTTGAACTTCTGGAAAATGATTCACCAATCTGTTGTCAAAATCCTACCCACCAAGGTGAGTGCCTCCGGAAGTTGCCGTCACTTCAAAGATACCTCTTCAATTGTAGCAGGGAAACAGCAAAAGTACCTCCACCAAGGTAAAAAATGAACACATCTTCTCCCTAATACTTTGTGGCTTTTTAGTCAAGACATAACAGTGATCTTGCTGCCAGGCTATATCGCCATGTAAGGCACCAGTCCAGCTATCTCCCTGCTGCGAAAACGTAGCCTGTTCAGAAAAGCAAAAAAGAGATAGTAAAGACAAAGCAGTTTCTTAGGATAGGAGCCATCCAAGAAGTAATAGAAAGAGTTGAAGCCTGGGAGCTACATTCATGGTGTGCTCACTCGCTGGCCTCAAGGCTAGGCAATGGAGCTGCTTTGGCATGCTGCTTGATGCCACATGGCTATTCTCGTCCTTTCTTCCATTAGTGAAACCTGTAAAGAAGAAAGAGAATGAATCAGCTTCTTTTAAATGGGTGTGGGACATATATGGTTTATGTGTATATAAAAAGGGAGGAAACAACACCATTTCTGCGAGCTTGAGAGCAAAAGTTTTGCCATAAAATCTTGAATCTCTGAATTGAGCCATGACTCCTCCAGTGTTTAAGGGATCTCTGTTCTTCCTTGTAGTTCATCCTTGTTAATGGGTTGTTCTAGTACGTTGCACATTACTTCAGGAACCTAATGGCGAGCAGTATAAGCCATAGAAAATTCCATAATAAGTTAGATTGTAATATCTAATGGAAGGGGAAACAGAACAAATAGCAAGTTCCCTTTAAAAGGTTGAGGAGATTACAGATTGGTTCATCCTTCTTCCTAGTAAGTAGTAACCTTGTCCCTATTCTTTCCCCAAGCAACCTGCGGTTTAAAAAAGATAACCAACATTAAGGCCAAAAAGATAGATCAGGCAACTAATTAACCAATCCTGTGCAGTTAGCCATGAAAACATCATTATCGTTAAACAACAGTTTTCTCGTACCAAATGAATATACCAAAAAGAAAAACACACATCACATCACAATGGTATACACAATTCCAAGCTTCCATTAATAACACAAACGGGGATCTTAAAAATACTTGATATACCTGTACACCATTTTCAATGCAAATCATCCATTCGTTTGAGTTCAATCAGCCATAGAAATAGGAGTCGCTAAAGCAGAGGAGGAAGATGGTGAGAAGTTGTTACCTGGTGGCTGTAAAACTACAGCAACACGTTTCACAGGAGGAAGAAGGTGAAGAAGTTCAATCAGCACTACTCTTCAGCTTCTTGTCATGGCACATCAATCTCTAACAGTTTAGAGACCTGAACCAAACATACACAGTGAGATTCAGTAATAAGAACAAACTTGATAAAAAAGAAGCAATAATTTCAAACTCATATATTCAAATCAAACCTTCAGAGCCAATCTGGACAGGCGTAGCAATTGAGACCCAATTTCAGGAAGAAGAGGACAACGTATCCAGTTGCATGAGCGTCCCGTCCTACTGCTTTCGGAGAAATAAACCCAAAAGGGAAGGAGAGGGAAGAAGCAGTTGCAGCGGCAGGCAGGGATCCTTCATTGACCCGAAGCTCCGAAAAGCCAGAACATTTCAAGAAAGCATTCATGATTATCATCGCATTTGTCTTGGTATCATGCTTTTGTTAGGGGATGGAAGGAAAAGGCAGAATGAAGAAGAAGAAGAAGAAGAAGAAGAAGAAGAAGAACGGAAGAAGGATATGGAATTGAGAGGATGAAAGTGAAGAAAATGGTTTGGGGAAAATGAACCCGAAATTAGCTCACTGGGCTGAGAACTTGACGGAGGAGGGAAGCCAGAGATCAGTAGGTGAATGAAAGAGCCAAAGAGGTGAATGGGAATGTTTGGAACCCGCTAAACCACGAAAAGTGATACAGTAATGTGCAAAAAGTGCCCCAGCTTTTATGAATAGAAAGAATTCGATGCTCTATTACTCTACTCTACTGCACCTAATCAAATCAAATATAACTCAATTAGGTAGCATAATATAGTGGTGATTGAGCTCGTATTTTCCTAGGAACGAGAAACTCAAAGGATGCAATTGTTATCCGCCCGACAACTTACGGTTGAGTTTAAACTAACAAACTAAGAATTAACTTAACTAGCTTAAGAGAGATAGCTTGAGGGCATTTGCATCATAATGGACATTCATCGGCATTGGCGTAGCCAGAGATATGATTTAGTGGGGTCCAAACATAACCAAATACGAAGTTTGACTCGATAGTAAAATCATTGTCTCGAAAAGAGGGGGTCCTTTGTTCTAAATTTACTAACCCCATCTTAAAAATCCATCATTTTTAATGTATATTCATTTTCCAAATGGGATCCATGAACCCCACAACTCCTCACCTAGCTCCGCCAATGTTCATCGGTTCGGTTCAATTATAGTACTTCAAAAGGCGGTTGGGTCAACGATCATGCATCTAATTGCCTTCCTAACTATGGTCACCAAATCAATGATCATGCAGTTGACCACCATAGCTAGAAATATGCTAGTAGGCAGCTCGAAGGGCTAGAGTATCAACAGTGCCAAGTCCCCAAGGACGAGAAACCAAGCTGTCAGCTTGGGGAAAGAAGGCTTAGCTCATTACGTGCACAACGCAAAATTTGTCTCAGAGGTCAGGTATTAGACTATTAGTTAAGTAAAGTCTCACTCTTTCTAACTGTCATTTCTTCATATTTTGCCTCATCACGGGGAAAGAAGGCTCTGCCTGCTCCTGTAAAAACTAATTGCAACCCTCTTCTGTCTGGTCTTGATTTATTCTTTGGAGAGTTTGAGGGCTCCGGCCACCGAATGCTGCGTTACTCTCACCATTTCCTTTTTGTGATCTTACAACAAACAGAATAGGGAATAGGTAGCGTTGGGTTCTCACTCCCCAAAACCTGCAATCACTACATCTATAGTCTCTATGTTACAGTGAGGAATATCAAAGGCTGCTTGCTTCTTTCAAGATTTAGCAGGCAGACGCCGTGCGGACGAATGTCAGCCTTGCCAAATAGTTGCACTCTGCAAAGTCATGGAGCGAACGATGAGGTCGGCTGCCTTCCTGGTTTGGCCTATCAATTTCTTCTTCTATGTCCTCCGAGTTATTAGTGCCCTAGTGGAAAAGCACAGAAATATGATTCCTCAAAACTCCAGCAATACAAGGAAGAATAACATACACAGGGTTTGTGGATTTGCGAAGTGAATCATTTGGTAAATGTACTAGAAATTCATTTAGAAATGTACCAACTTTGTTTACAAGTTTCTAGATGGTGAATTATACATATCATTTGTGTTTTGTTGTTTGCTACCATTTTAACTTAACAACCCTTTACTAGTTTGTTCTTTATATCATTAAATAGAAAACATGTGGATATATGCCCAAAAAACACATTTGGAAAGTGATAGCAACAAACGAGTCGTTAATATGGTGGAAGGACGAACCTCAAGGAACTCCACCATTTGCTCTTCGATTGTTCCACGCATTGCTAGAGTTTCGACATGAATCGGGCGAGTGGCGCCCATTCGATGAGCCCGACTGATCACCTGTTGCTCCATGCTGGTGGAATTTGAAAGCTATAGTGCATTAGAAGCTAACCTAAAAAATTTGGTCCAACCATTTTATGTCTTCCCTTGGAGGAAGCGAAGCTCTCTTAAAATTAGGGAAAATGTGCTTGCAACGCCATAAGTGTGTGTGATTACAGTTTAGGGGTTCATTTTACCTCCTGTCCCAGATTGGTTCCATTAGAAACACATGCGAGACAAAGCTTAAGTCGAGGCCTAATGCAGCACTTCCATCCATTAAAAGAGCCATACAGTCCGCGTCGTTCTGGAATGTGGCCAGTGATTTCACCTGAATGAGCACAGGATGAATGATTAGCAACACCAGGAGCGAGAGATAGTGCGAGAGAGGGAGAGGGAGAGAGATGAGGGAAACGCGGATACTCGAATACCTTGTTGTGAGAATGCATTGGGCTGTAGAGTCCAGTGAACTTGATGCCAGCCAATGTCAGCTATGAAATTTACAGCAATGGTCAAAACCAACACCTCGCACTGGTATAAATCATTGAGAATAATGTAACAGAAACAGTAAGTAACAAAATACCTGCTGTTCAATGACGTGTATATGTTCTAGAAATTGAGAAAATATAATCACTTTGTCTTGGATAATCTTATAAGCTGTAGAATTCTGTTGGCCATCTTCCTGTTGCACTACTCCAGTTGAACTACTCATCTCAGACTCATCGCTAGTATTGTGAATACAGAGCCTGCTGTCCGTATTAGCCTGTTGCAAAGCTTTCAGCCTCTGCACTAAGTAAGCTACTTTACTACTTGATGTTGATTGCCAATCTGGATCCCAGTCATCCTGCATTTAAATTCCGAAACGGTCATTGGTAACAACGTATTTTACCAACAATAGACAGCATAGTGAGCCTCTGAATTCAAGTTGACTGAGAACCCACCTGTTTATATGACGGCTGCAACTCAATTAGATCTTTAGGGACCGGCCATTTGGGATTTGGATTTTCTGGACGGGTTAATACCTCAGGAGTTTGCATCTCATATAAATAAGTACATCTTGGAGAAGTACACCTTTCACTATCTAAAGCGACACATCCAAGGCACAGAAGATGCCTACATGGTGTGATGACAGGTAGACGACACCATTCTTTGCATCTTTAAAACCAAAGTTCCACAAGTGAGAAGTTAAAAAAAAAACGAGGCATCACTATGAATGTATTATGGATTGATTCAAGGGCATACAATAAAACATATTAGGTGATAAAGTTTTACCTGAGACAATGGCCGCCATACTGAAGGTAATACTTTATCAAGGCATACTCCTCGGAAATGGGATCAAGACCTCTTCCAACTAAGAGATCCATTGTTTCCTGAATATCCTCACCAACATCACTCACTTTAATATGTCCAGCAACACAACAAGACAGCCTGACATTTCTAACAGTTGCAGTTCGAAACTTCCATTGCTTTGGATTGAGTAAACTCTCAACATGTGATGGATCATTCCAGTCAGCCATCAAGATGTTCCGTCGGACAGTAACCACCAATTCATTATAACTTCTAGCGTGTTCCTCATTGAAGTCGAGGAAGATTACTTGCTTCATGCAAGGGGGAATATTCTTTAAGTCTTTCTTCCTAGCACTGATCAAGCATCTGCGTAGCAATTCTAACAAACGAAGGCGACCTTCTTCCTGCTCTGCCTCAAATGGTCTAAGGATACCAGCTTCCCATGACTTCTGATTTTGCCCATAGACTTCCTCATGTAGGAACTTAAGCATTGGCTGGAGATGCGAGAGCTGACTATTAGGCATGTTAGATGTTGGCGTTCCTGTTAACAACCAACGAGTGGAAGCCATTACGGAAATTGCCATCTGCAGTTTGTTTGTTAGATTCAGGCTAGATCCGAGAGTGTGTCCTTCATCTAATATAACCCTGAGCCAATGTACCTGCATCAGAGGGCTTTGTTTATTTGGGCCCCACTCAGCACTTAAACGGCTAAATGTTGTAATAACAACATCATAATCCCAAGCCAAAATGTGGGCAGGAGGCCTTTTATGATCTGTCCAAATGCAGACCCGCAGCTGCCCAGGTTTGACATGTTTCTGGATTTGATTTCTCCAATGATCTACAAGGTTTGCTGGAACAACGATAAGAGTTGCTTTCGACAGGTATAACCTCACGGAATCGAGTGGTTCACAGAGAGCAAGTCTGAGAGCACCCAAATCGAATATCAAGCTGTCAAGATTAGGAGGGTAATACCACCTAGTAACATTCTTCACTATCCTCTTTACAAGACCAAATGCTTGAAAGATTTTATGGAAAGCAATAGCATCTCCAGCACCAGATCCTAGAACTGGGCTCGCCAATCCAACAGTTTCCATTAAAGAGAGTCTATCCATAGGAAGTTTAGCCAGCCACATCAATGCTTTCTTCGTTTTTGAGCTCATTGCTGAACAGTGCTCCCTGACAACGCTAATGAAAAATGAAATGTTTTGATCTTTTGCCCCAGAAGTTGCTCTCTTGTGAAACCCAAGCATTTCTGTCACAGATGCAGATTTGTCCCATAACTCCTCACGATCTTTACAACTTTGATGTGTGGGGTCAGTATTCATACTACAGAACCATGCAGCACCCAGAGTATTAATGGAAGCTGGAAGCTTCCTCCACTTTCCACATGAATCACATTGAACCCAAGTCTCATTAGACATAGGGCAATTTGCTGCAGCACTCTTTACACCGCTCACAAGCGAGTTACTTGCATGCTTCCTCTTCTTCGATTTATCTGCCTTCGTTGTGGAAGAAACACCGGATCCTTCCCCATAAGCAAATAACAGATTTTTCTTTGCGGAACTCATGCTTCTGGTGCATCTAGAAGGCTGCCCAATGATTCCGGACATGGGAGATATTGTTGATAGTGTTTCAACAGTATCAAATAATCTTCTTCTTTTATTGGGGGGATAAGACACATCACTAATAGGAGTGACCTCATCCAAAGATAATTGACCCCTGCGAGCACTCTGGCTCGCAAGACTTTTCCCAGATGGTGTACTCATAGAAGCAAGGTTGTTACCAGTAAGCTCATAGTAGCCACAACTCTGATCATCATTATGTGTACACCACGTGATTTGCACTCCATTTGGCGGGTCTGCCATTTTTCCTTGTGTCTTAAGAATAAGTGAAAGAGCAGTTATGGTCTTTCCCAAGCCAGGTTCATCGCAGAACATACCCCCACGGAAGTCCCTTACAGTGGGAGCCTCCCCTAACACTAATTCACCAGAGACAGTGTTTACACAAAATGTAAACCCGTCTTCAGTTGAAAATTTCATGAAAAAAGGATGTGGGGATACTCTGCCATTCAGCTCCCTCTCCAACATCCACTCAACAGCAGCACGCTGGTGAGGAAATAATTTAAGTTTCATGCACGGCATGATAGATACGACCAATGATCTCAATCGATGACAAGTAGCAGCGACTCTGACAAGATCCAATGGACCAAGAAGTGATAAAATGTTTATCAATACATCTTCAGCAACATCCCAAATACCAGAATCATGACAATCAGCTGCTGGTTTCAGACTCAAAGAACCATAGTTTTCCCTGCCTCCCAAACTAGGCAAACTAGCAAAGATTTCATGCAGTTTAAACTTCTTCTTCTTAAGAGAATCAGAGATGTCGCAGTGTACTTTGCAGTCAAGAACATGACAAGGAGAGACATTCCAAATACCATTATCTTCAGATAATGCTCCTCGATTGGCAAGCATCCAACTTCTCTTCGTCCAATCAGAGCTGCAGACTGAAATGTGTTAGCCAGCCCGACTAAAAGCTAACTGCAGAAACTGTACTGAAAGACATATAATTCGAAACTGACTAACATGAAAGAGAAACTAAGTAACTAGATTTATGCATCTTTCATACTAAATTCGGAGGAAACAGACGGCCTCGTCCAGCGTTGACGTAGAATTGAAGTAATCTCAAGAAATAACGATCGATGCACAAACCTCAAGTGCCGGAAGAGAGCACCGGCTATCGGCCCAGACTTGGGGAACTGCCACCCGGACCACACCTCAGACGGCAGATACACGTCCACCAGCACCACCAACCTCTCCTCGCCGCCAATCTCCCGCACTTCGGACTGCAATACCCGCGCCTGAGTCTTTATACACTTGTGAGTCACAAGAGCATGAATTTGATGCACAACGCTCAAGCTTCCATTCACCATTCCGATCCCTCTAACTACCTTCCTCTTCTTCCCTGACACATTGCGGCTACTTTTGCCGCCGCCCTTCCTCCTTCCCGAACTCTCATTCCGCCTCGTAACCCCGCCTTTGGATCCAATTTCTGTCTCCTCAACCGCCCCTGCACCTGAAGTAGTTACTTGCGGCTCAATTCTGGAATCTGAGACCGTTGACAGAAAAACGTTGTGCTGCTCAGTCACGAAACCGACGCGATTGCCGTCGGCGAAAAGGCGGCAGGGAGAGAGAAACGCAAGGGGATCCGCCGGCGAGGGAGCGACGAGGACAGCGCAGAGGTAACCGCAGCGCTTGTGACCTGGAAACGGATCCACTTCGTTGTCCATTGTCGCCGGAGGAGCGAAATGCGAGGAGGAAGAAATTACGGAGACGGGAAACTCCTAGATCCTAATTGACCCTGTTGGTTCAAATTATACGTTCTCTTGATGCTGCAACCGTGAAAAAAATTCAGCTCCGCTCACTGTCTGGCCGGAAACCGGTGGGCGGTAGACGGAAACGGGGTCCCTGGCCCTGGGGGCGACTCTCCTCCGGCTGATAGCAGATTTTATTGACCTCTCGATTCGTTGCAACTTGCAAATAACGAGAGACCTGCTCAGTCCTCTCCTCACCTAATCCGAATTCCGAAACCGTAATAAATTTTGCGGAAAAAAACTTAACATATGGGCTTATATTTTCGGCCCAATATGTTTCTGCTGAAGCCCAACGGAAAAATAACCAGTTCCGAATAATTCGGCCCAATAAGGTTTTCTCATATATCGTCTGAACTCTGTTGCCCTAAAGCGTCGATTTGGGCAGTGAAATTGATCGGACTGCCATCCAACGAGGTTTGATAGCGGAAGGTTGAAGAAGGTGCCAACTTTGGAGATCAAGTAGAGCGTTTCAGGTCACGAAATGGCAAGAGATAGTTGCTTGGCTCGTGTGACTGCCGGTGTCGCCGTTGGCGGTGCTGTCGGTGGGGCTGTCGGTAAGTTACAGTTGCTCGATTCTCAGTTGTATTTAGCAGAGTATGCTATATTGCTTGAGAAATAAGAATTGGGTGTTTCTGTTTATTTCTGGCTCTTCCTGAACTCGATCGATTTGTTTTTCCTGTGAAATTTGTTCCGATGCTTCTCGTTATGCTCTGGTTTGTGTCCGGGAGAGGGGAGTAAGCTTTTCGTAATTATGCTTCAGGCGAGTACTATTGAGAATGGTCCTGGGATGAAATTTAAACATGTCCTGCCTGTGAAATTCCTTAAGTAGCGTTTATTCCTTACAATCTGTAACTGGAAATCACAATAGGGATGGTTGTTTCATGATCGATTTACTGACAGACGGGACCTTACACTGCTTTATAAGGTTGACTAACCCCTTCAAATACGTTTTTGAATCAACTTTTCGTTGCTTGTTTAATCAGCGGACTTCAGCTCTAGATTCTAGTACTAGTCTGACAATCATGAATGTTTCTTTGTAACTTAACCGTGTCACTCAAGTGGTCTGTGAGTCTTGGTTGGGTTGCTATAATATAATTCTGACATTCGAATGTTTCTGGCAATGCTGATGCTTCGATTGGATTCGGTGGTGAATGGGATATTGAATGACAGTTCTTATTGCATGATCAGTACCCATTGGTCTGTGAGCCTGAGAGTTTTCGAGTTTATGGAAGGACGGCAGTGGGTGTGTCCAATGGATGTTTCAAGTTGCTGCTGACATTCTCAATGATGGTTTGTTTTGCAGGTGCTGTTTATGGAACTTATGAGGCCATTAGACATAAGGTAAGCTCTTGTCGTTTTGCAACCAACCAGATGGAATAGGGGCTTCATATTTATTGCCTACTCAATTCGATGTTCAAACCTCTTTGCGTGTGAGCTACATTAGCGTTTAGTTCTTGTTGTAGGTGAGAAAGTGGACACATTGCCTGCAGACTATATGAGATTGGAACTCTCCAACCCGTTTGTGAGAAACCATTTTAGGGGGCATTGTGAGATGATTAAATTAAATGAACATTTCTCACTATTCACTATCTTGGAAAGATGTCTCGTGTTCACATGCCGAGTTTATTCCATCTTGGCCCTGAATTATTATCTTGAATCTTATGTTTGTCAACGGTTAGTGCTGAATTCGGTTATGCGGTTAGTCTGCAACCCTTGTCCGTCCATGATTATGCCCCTGATCGATTTAGTCTAGATCTGGATTTGTTTATTGCTTTGTGTTGAAGGTTTCTTATTGCGTCGAGCTTTGAATCTGTGTGTGTAGGTGCCGGGACTCCTGAAAATTAGGTACATTGGGCAAACTACAGTTGGAAGTGCTGCAATTTTCGGTCTCTTCTTGGGAGCAGGAAGCTTGATACATTGCGGAAAATCATACTGACCGAGCTCTGTTAATCTATTTTGCTAATAATTGTCAAAGGTTGTCCGGAATTTCTCTTCGAGGGTTAATATTCGCTTCTTTTTTGGGGATATTAGTTTCCTTGTTGGCGAGACAATGCCCCTGTTACTTTCTGTGTTTGCCTCTTGTTTCCTCGATGAGTTGCTACTGTACGGTGAAATATGATTTAGGTGTAACAGTCGAGTCCAAGTCATCAGCACTCAGCAGCGTTAGGAACGTAGCCAAGCCAACTAAGAAACTTTAACAGCTTTGATACAAGCCTCGCCATTTAGTCTCGTTAGACCAGAGTTTACAAGCACAGGTAGAAATATTAAAAAAATGGGTAAATTGCATAGTTGGTCATTGAGTTTACTAAAAAGTGTCACTAAAAATAATAATTAATTTCATTTGTGGTCACTAAAATTAATTAAACGTTTCAAATTTGGTCACTCTCCGTCTAGCTCCGTTAACTTTATCTGACGAGGCGGTCAACTCTCAAAGTTGACCGTTAACTTAATGACGTGGGAATTAAAAAATAATTATTAAAATAAAATTTAATCCTTTTTCATTTCCAACTCATTTTCACAATAAAATAAAATAAAATTAATAAAACAGAAAAAATGACAACAGATGCGGCGGATTCACCCTCTTCTCTTCATCACTCTCCTCTTCCACTCCCATTCCTTGGCCACTGGAGCAGCGACACTAAAGAGGGGATCTGCCACCTTCCATTATCATCCGCCACCACAGCATCCTCCCCGCCTCCGAGTCCAAGCCCGGTGCCATCTCCCAAACACTCGTCGCCGATGCCGACTCGCAAACTCTCTCCTCCTCCGTCGTCGTCGACGCCAGGCGACGGATTCGATAACGCACCTACCCGATCGAGTAAAAGGTATAATGGCATTTTTCAATTGGTTGAGCTGTCATTTTCTTTCTCCTCCGTCCTCTCACCAATTTTGATTGAAAGGCTAATCCAAGTAGAAAAGGAGATGGAGTTAGGCGCAGGAGAGGTAGAGGAAGATCCCGGAGGTGAGGAGGAAGAGGAGCACCAGGAGGGAGAAATGATGGGACAGGAGGGAGAAGCTGAGGACGACGACGAGCATTGAAATGTAATTGACCTTGAAGTAGGACAGATTCTTGCGGATCTCGGCGGCGACTTCGGTGAGGGAGTCAGGGCGAGCGAATGCAGCGGTGGATGAGTTCCGTCCATGGGCGGCGTTGGGAGAAGCACTCGCGGACGAAGGAGGAGAGGCGGGAGATGAAGTTGCGGAAGGCCGGCGTGGCTATTGGGCGCTGGGACGTGGGGTTCATGACCTTGGAGAGGCGGAGTGGCCATTTTTCTTCTGACGGTGGTGCGAGATCATGAAGTGGAGAGATCGACAGTGGTTGTCGAGATATAGAGGAGGAGACGGAAGGAAAACCATTTTACCTAGACTTGATTTGATGATTCAATATATGTGACCCTATATTGAAGAGTTAGGCTTTTTTGGATATGAAGCTCATGTCATGGGGTTCAAATCCCCTGTTTAGTATGACTGCTCCAGTGGCCGGGGAATGAGAGTGGAAGAGGAGAGTGAAGCGGTCACCATCTGTTTTTTATTTTTTCTGTTCTATTCATTTTATTTTAGGGCAATATCTATTTATTACCCAAACTTTTTTCAAATTCTTTTATTTTATCCTAACCTATTAAAATATTAATAATTATCTAAACGTAATGTAACTGATCAAAGTCTGGACATTCATTATGTTACCGTTAATTATTTACTAACGGATCTCCACGTCAGCATCCACATCAGCGTCCACATAAGGAATTAATAAAAATAAAAAATTATAATAGAATTTCAAATAAAAAAACCTCCATTATTTCATTTACTTTCCTTTTTGTCGTCTCTCCTCCATGTCTTTCTTTTCTTCCTCTCTCTCTCGCCTTCTGATTCAGGCTCAAATGTAAACATTTTTTCCCTCATTTCTTATTCGTTTAACTTAGTATTTCATCGTTCGTCGACATATTTCACGCTAGGTTGTGCTTGTTTTGATACCTTTCAGGTCCTAGCACGTGTGGAAGGGTCGAGGACGAGTTTTGGGATATTTGGAGGTAAAAAAGTGCCAAAACCGAAGAAAAGTCCGAAGACCGTGACAATTGCCTCATAGTAGTGAAGTGAAGGCGTCTCGGGAAACAGCCGCAATTCACGGCCGGACGAGGCAGTTCACGGTCTCCTAAGACTGTGAACATGGACCACAAACTGTAAACATCGAGCAGTCCAGCGAGGTTCGTGAAGTTACTGACGACAAGGCAGTTCACGGTCTTAGAGACCGTGAACTAGGGCCATTGACCGTGAACCCAGGAGAGTGAAGCAGTGCGTTCTGGATGACACTGAGTTCACGGACGCGTTTAGGTGTTCACGACCGTGAACTGGCCAACGTGTCCGTGAACTAGTCACTTTCGGGCAAATATAAAGACAACAGCGGGGAGAGAGAAAGAGGAGCTGGTTTTTGGAGAAGAAACACTTTCTTTCTCTAGGGTTTCAACCTAAACACCAAAGGGGAGTTCTAGTGACAGAGAGAGAGTGCTAGAGTGATCTTGGTGCATCATTGGAGGCTTGGGTGCAAGATTCAAGCCTAGAAGAAGAAGAAGATCTTGAGCTCAAATTTGTAATCCCTCTCTCTCTCTCTCTCTCTCTCTCTAGAAACTCACTCTTTTCTCTTGGGTGTTGTAGATCCCTAACTAATACTTTGTAATTACTTGTTTAGATTGAATGATTGTCATTGGGTAGTGTTTAATTCAAGGATGAGGTATTATTCATGTCGATTGTGCATGCTTGTGCTTAGCAACTTAGGGGTTGTGCATATTTTGTGCTTAGCATCCTAGGGATTGTGCATAATTGTGCTTAGCACCCCTAAGTTTGTGCATTTAAGTGCTAGTAATCTAATTTGCCACCTTAGCCTAGTTTAGAGAGGAAAATCCCCCTTTCAAGGGAGACTCAATCGAGTTGGTTTTCCCTCCGCTTTCTAAGCCACCTTAACGAGGTTGAGTTAGGGCAACCCTCAATAATGAATTGAACAAGTCGATTAATCGTTGTTAAACCGTCCGACCTTAGAGTTGAGTGAGGGAGTAAGTCGATTACCGATTGTCTAAACCGAGAGGGTCGAGTGGCACGACCTTTCATTCTCACCTCGGTTTAGCAATTGAGACTGTGATCTGACCACATACGCTTTCCTCTGCGGTTCACGAATAACGTTTCCAAGGCAATCGTTTCAATCCAACGAGTCAGGGTAGCTAGTTAGGGGGAAGCGATTCCTGGGTGAAGCTCTCTTAGTTAGACTTTTCCTTTATTTACTTTTCTTTGCTTGGTTAGTTTGTAGTTCCAATAAACCTAAACGCTAAAGTTGCTTGCTAGATAACAACCTAAGCGATTGAAGTAGGGGTACATGGACCGGTCCGGGTTGACAATTTAAATACTTGCTCTATACGACACCCGGCTAGAGTTTAAAAATTTGGGCTCTAGTTTGGATCAATTTGTGGTGTAGTTTCGTGCGAGTCACCTTCTCTAGACTTCCCTTTTCCTCCCTCTTCTTCCAGAAAACAACTCCAGATCTAGTCGAAGATGAAGCTCCAGCGGCAGCAATGGTGTCGATGGCGATTTTGCCAGCGAGGGCTAGAGGCTGGTCGTCGATGAGCTTCTGGAGGAGCCGTCCTGGATGTCCACCAGGCGAAGGACGGAGGGAAGCATGCGAATGTCTAGCTGCCGACGGCGCCGCATACCTCTCGAGTCGCGGACAAGCCGGGTCAGGGCAGCGGAGAGGTCGGGTTGAGGGCGGTGGTCGCTCCAGCACCGAGGCGAAGGAGGAGGTCACGTTGGGAGGTGGGGATATGGTTGTCTGGGACGGAGGTGTTGTATGGGGCGGTGGAGTGGCAGGTTATGTGGAGTGGTGGCCTGATCCTGCGATAGCCGACTGGAAAGTACTGATGGGCATTGTGGGCCGGTGGTTTGGTTGCGGCGGAGAGTGGCGAGTATTGCTGGGGAACGGCGAGAGAGAGGGAGGTAATATATGTGTGGCTGTAGGCGTAGGTTTTTTTTTATAATTTTATGATATCTCTAAAATAATAAATGGTTATTGGGGAATAATGTGGTTTAATAAAAAGAGTAATTTATTTCCACATCAGCATCTCTTTTGCCAGCTCAGTTTTAACTAACATCATTATTAATGGAAACTTAACATTTGGATGATTATTAGTATTTCAATAGGTTTGGATAAAATAAAAGAATTTGAAAAAGATTTGGGTAATAAATAGACATTATCCTTTATTTTATTGCAAAATTGAGTTGAAAATGGGAAAAGATTAAATTTTATTTTATTTATTATTTTTAATTGCCACGTCATTAAGTTAACGGTCAACTTTGAGAGTTGACCGCCACGTCAGACAAAGTTAACGGAGTTGGACGGAGAGTTACCAAATTTGAAATGTTTTACTAATTTTAGTGACTACGAATAAAATTAATTATTTTTAGTGACAAAACTTGATAAACTTAGGACCATACTTGTAATTTATCCTTAAAAAAATTAAGGCAACCAAAACAAATGCCCAATTGAATAGAAGCACTAGCTCGAATGAAGTGGACAACGACAGGGATAATAAACTTCCAGATATTAGATATTGATGTTTCTATCCCTAATGTGATTTCATGCGCATAAGAGAACTTAGTTTCAAATTCATCACTTGAACTCGGAAGCTAATTATTAATTTTTATCAAAGTTGTTTCAAAGTTGTCCTTAATCCTCTTAGCCCTTAGGCATATCACCCTCTCTTGTCAACTAGGAGACTAAATGGAATAAAAATTGAAATAAAACAGTGAGAATTCCACAAAAGAAAGGTAGATATGTGTGTTCCCCTTTGAGGTGATCGAAAATCCCCTCCTTTTCCTTCTCAAGTCAGATGGCCGGATTTGGTGTTTCTTGTTGCCAAAGAATGGAATGCAAGACCTTTGGTGGCTGTTTGAGTCGGGTCTCCTTATAGACTAAGGAAATTAAGATGGACTCCAATGATAGGCCAGGTAGGCCTAGCAACGGGTCTATCCATCGAGAAAAATCAATCTGAACATGTATTTTAGACCTCAAATTAAAGTGCACAAATAGCCCAATGAAATGAACGTCTTCCAAATCAGCAAAACATATCGCCAAATAAGCTTAAAATTGTGTTTGGAACTTTTTTTGCTTGACTTCTAGTTATTGGAACAGGTATTTAGTTGTATCATCAATCTTTGAGTCGCCTCTAATTACTGGTGTCATTGGTTTCGATGCTCTCATCATTTCTCCTCTCTTAAAAAGAATTTGCCTTCAAAGTCAAACAATAATCAAGAAAAAGAGCTAAGTCAAAAAAATATTGAATGTCGAAATTATACCATGCTCACGAGCAGGGGCGGATACATGGGACTTTAAGGGTGTTTCGGGACACCCCTAAAATTTAGGAAAACGATTATTCAACCCCTGGTAGTAGTTTTGTATGAATAAAAGAAAATATAAATAGTAATCTGGGCCACCACTAAAATTAGAAAAAACGATTATCATATCCATTTAGTTTGCATATGATTAAAAAACATAAGTGGTAGTCTGTGTTATTCAAAACTAGGACACTACTATTATTAAACGTATCTCCACTAGGTTGCAACTCTTTTGCTGTTCCTTTTTAAACACTATGTAATAGTAAAATTATTCCTTATCCCAAACTATTTCAAAAACCTAACAATTAAACTAATTACAGGTTGCTCTTAATTTGATTTAATTTCATGGTTACACGACAAGTGTTTAAAGAGTATTTCAGCTTTGAGTTACATAAAAGAACAAGGTTAGAAATCAAATATGCAATCAGTTCGTGAATTTTTCTAGTATGATATACAGATTTGTTGAGTAGTGTAAACCCCGAGTCTATTTTATATTCTTTTTTATAATCTGAAAACACGTCGTGATCTTTTTTAAAATTTGTACTAGTCGATATTTTCTTATCTATTAATTAATTAATTAAATTATTAAATTATTTATTTTTAATTTAATTTTTGGACGAGGACACCCCTATAAAAAGTTTATGGATCCGCCACTACTCACGAGGCAAATCTATCTTATAGGCATTGTCATTGATCTTAGGTAGGGCTACAAATGAGCCAAGCCGCTCGCGAGCAACTCGGTATCGAATCGAAAAAATCTCGTTCGACACTCGACTCATTATGTAACAAGCCGGCTCGTTAGTAAACGAGCCAAGCTTGAGCTAGACCATGCTAAACTTGATAAGCTCATGAGCTAGCTTGACTCGGTGGCTTGTTGAGCTAAGCTCGCGAGGTA